AATAGTAGTTAGAAAATGCCATATGGAAGAAATCAAGTCGATCTGATAAAAACTACGGCGTAAGATTTTTTATTTCATTCTCTTGTATTGGAGCTATCCGATATAGTCGGCCGATCCGGCCCGATCCGACTTATATACTGCGTGCAATAGCTACACAACTTTTGGGAAAGTTTCAGCAAGATAGTTTTAAAACTGAGAGACTAGTTTGGGCAGAAACGGACAGACGGACAGACGTACATACATATTCCGATTCAGATGGTGATGCTGATCAAGAATATATATACTTTATGGGGTCTAAGGTGTCTCCTTCACTGCGTTGCAAACTTCTGACTGAAATTATAATACCCTTTTGCTCTGCAAGGGTATAAAAAGGAAAAAAATTAAAAACGAAGCAAAAGTTAATTTTATTTTAATTTAAAATTTAACGATCTAATTTCGTGCCAGAAATGTTATTATTAATCGCTTTAGGAGCTGCAGAGAGTCTGAAGAAGATACTATAGAAAACAGTCTATTATAGTCCGAACAAAGTACCCTGAAAGGCTCATGCACGTCATAATTAGATTCACAAAGATTTAAAACTAAAGGAACATAATTTCTAGTAAATCTACTTGGAACCGAGAAATTTAGTCTACTTTACAAGTAAGCACTGTCAATTTCACCACGTACAAGGTTATGAATAAATATAGTACCAAGCATCGTTCTACGGTTAGTGAGGGAGGGCAAGTTAATGAGGAGCTGTCTATGAGAATAGGATGGTAGGAATAGGTTTGCATTCCAGTTTAGGCAGCGTCGGGCAAAAATTAAAAAGTTTTTTTTTTACTGGTTCTATGCGATCAGCATGTACTCCGTATTGGGGACTCCATACGGGTGCCCCATACTCAAGAATTGGTCGGACCAACGATATAAATAAAGTCCTGGTAACGTAAGGATCCTCAAATTCCTTCGACCATCGTTTAATAACGAAACCCCTAGCTTTATTAACCATGTTCGAAATATGAAGAGAGAATTTAAGTTTAGGGTCCAAGAGGACGCCAAGATCGTCAACAAGCGTTATTCTTTCCAAGGTTCCCCCACCTAGCGAATAGGTGACATTATGCGGATTGACTCGACAAAACGTCATCAGCTTGCACTTGGAGCTGTTTAAATTCACTAAATTGTCGTGAAAAATTTTGAAAATTGTTTAGGGCTGCTTGAAGATTTGAATGACGGCAGAATTCATTATACTGCAGACACAGTTTTACATCATCCGCGTACATAAGTACGCGGGAATGTGCAATGACCAATGGAAGGTCAATAATGAACAGGGTAAAAAGTAATGGATTTAGATGAAATGTAATTATATATAGAGAACACTCTATATTCCAAAAATCATGCTTGTCTGATTAAATGTTATAATTTTCTTTCCGTTATTTCTATATAGATTTTTCGATCTTTCCTATGGCAGCTATATGATAATGTTGTCGGATTTTGATGAAATTTTGTTCTCGATTCAAGAGTTATCAAATAACAATGACGTCATAATTTGTTTTCCATTATTGTATAAATATTTTTCGATCTTATCTATGGCAGCTATATGATAGAGCTATCCGCTTTTGATAAAACTTAATCCGAAGTTCAATATTAGTTAGAAAACGCCATCTGGAAGAAATCAAGTCAATCTGATTAAAAACTGATGAGGGGAGAATTTCCGTAGCCCGAATGTACATTTTACCAAAACGCATTGTTTCTACTGAAATATTAATAATTATTTATTGACCGCGACTTCGCGCGGTGATCTTTCTGTGACGGCTAACTTTACTCGACTCATTAATATAGCTTAACAGTTAATTCTCTCAAAGCTCTCTCTGCTGATGTTATTCTTACATACTGTTGTTTACATACATATGTTAATAAATGGGATTATTGGAACTAATTTCAACACCTCTCCTCAATGTTACCATGATAAATGTTTATCAATACAATATTTACATAATATTGATAAGATTAATCAATTTCTCATGTTTCAGTTTTGGCAAATTTTTAGTTAACATATCGACTATCATATCGTGGGTTGATACATATTTCAATTTAACATCGCCTAGCTGGATAACTTCCCTAATAAAATGATACCTTATATCGATATGCTTTGAACGTGCATGATATGCTGGATTTTTTGCCAAGCTCTGAGCGCTGAGATTGGCTCCGTAGAGGAATGTTGGTGTATCCTTGCTTCCACAACCGATCTCGACGATTAAACGTCTCAAATGTAAAGCCTCTTTTACAGCTGATGACAGCGCCATGTATTCTGCCTCCGTGCTGCTGAGGCAGGACAAAAGCTGTCCTGCTTTTTCGACTTTCAAGAAATTGGTCCTCCTGATAAAAGGAAAACATATCCTATGTACGATCGTCGGTGGCTGGCGTCGCCGGCCCAGTCGGCATCAACGTACTGCACTGGTCATAGACAACGTTATATTCCTTCCTTGGTCGCCCCGACTTGCCGGTCCAAATGATTCTAGGCCTCCCTGGCCCGATTCTGCCTGCCTCTCCTTCAGGGTGTTCCTGCACCTTATCATGCTGGTCGCGATCTTCTTTACATATTGGAGGAGCATACACAAATCTCATTACGTTATTATCGGCCAAAATTATGTCTTCCACTCGCGGAACATAATTGGTAAAAAGACTTCGAGCGCAACATACATATATGAGCCGTAGCTCCGCTATCAAGGCACCAGCTAGAGGCTTCTAGCTCTTGTACGTCACTCGCAGGTACTACTGTATACGATCTGTTCCTGCTGTGTCTCCTTTGACTGCTCGTTCTTGACTTGCCTTTTACAGTGATTCTTATAAAGCCCACGCTGTCCGCAATAATAACATTCCACGTTGGATTTGTCTCTTCTCCTGTTCTTTGTGCTGTCCGGCTGCAACTTAGCATGAAAAGCTAACTGTTCATTTTCCGATCTTTCTCTTGCTTCGCTATTCCTTCTTTCTCCTTCTGCAAGCAGTTCAACCTTCAACACATCTACCAAGGGCAAACTATTCCGCGTTTCCATGGCTATTACGAAATTTTCAAATTCTCTGCTCAAACTCGACAGTAATATTATTGCTGCTAATTCGTCACTTAACTTAATATAAACTTCACTGAGTTTGTCCACTCTCTCGCAGAACGAATTTATGTGCTTTATTATGTCGCCACATTCTGCCTTCTACGCATTCCGAGTAATTTCTTATATAGTGATACTTTCCTTACTGGCCCGCTTGGCTGGTGAACATCTTTGAGTTTTTGTCAAGCGCTCCCGGCCGTGGCACAGCTCTTAAGATAACCCAGCTGTGTCTCCTTTACGCTTAATGTTATCATAGCTAATGCCTTCTGATCGAGTCCGTTCCATATTTCGTCATCTTTTTCTGGCCGCTGCCCCTGGATCACCTTCCAGACCTCTGCATGGACCCGCACACTGCGCATTTGGATTACCCAGGTGTCATAGTTCCCTGTATCCAGTTTATCGATCTGATACATGGCGCTCATGTTGACGTAACTCCCGTTATCCCACGGCGAAAAAATGAACTACCGTTTATATGTACTTTTACGCAAAGAAAAAACTAGGCTCTGGGCCCATAACCTGATGAGGGGAGAATTTCCGTAACCCGAATGTACATTAAACCAGGACGTGTTGATTCTACTGAAATGTTAGAATAGAAAGTAAATATTTGAAAAATGTTAGTATAAATCGCTTTGTAAAAGTAGAGTCCGCATTTTGGGAACCGCATTGTAGCGAAAATGCATTACAGAAAACCCCGTTGAAGGAGGTTTACCTGTACTGTACGTAATAAAATTATAATACTCTCTGCAAGGGTTTAACAAGAAACCTCGAGGTTTGTTGGCGTTTCACTTTTCATAAAACTACTTTCACATCGTAAATTGAGTTGGCATATATAATCCCAATATTTGAGGTCTTTTAGTTACCAAAATTATTACTAGATTCATATTATTAATGAACAAGAAAGGAAGCTAGCTTCGGCAAGCCGAAGCTTATATACCCTTGCAGTCATTAAATATGTCAAACAAAATACATAAAGGCTAACAACATCGAATCTATGACGATTTTTCTATTATTTACCATATTGTTCATATGACAGCTATATGATATAGTCGTCCGATTTTGATAAAATTTAATATGTAACTCAAGACTCATTAGAAAACTCTATATTTCAAAAACCATGATTGTCTGATGAAAAACAACGAGGTTATAATTTTATTTCCGTTATTTCTATATAGATTTTTCGATCTTTCCTATGGCAGCTATATGATATAGTACTCCGATTTTTATGAAATTTTTTCTCGATTTAAGAGTATTTCAAAAACTTGATGTTCCAAAAATCATGCTCGTGGCATTAAAAACAACGACATTATAATTTTTTTTCCATTATTTATATATATATTTTTTGATCTCTCCTATGGCAGCTATATGATAGAGTTATCCGATTTTGATAAAATTTAATACGAAATTCAATAGCAGTTAGAAAACGCCATCTGGAAGAAATAAAGTCGATCTGATCAAAAACAACGGAGTGAGAATTTTTTTTACAATCTCTCGTATGGGAGCTATCTTATATAGTCGGCCGGCTCGTTCCGACTTATATACTGCGTGCAACAACTACACAACTTTTGGGAAAGTTTCAGCGAGATAGCTTTAAAACTGAGAGACTAGTTTACATAGAAACCGACAGGAGGACAGACGGACAGACGTACAGACGGATTTGGATTCTGATCGTGATGCTGATCAAGAATATATATACTTTATGGGGTCTGAGGTGTCTCCTTCACTGCGTTGCAAACTTCTGACTGAAATTATAATACCCTTTTGCTCTGCAAGGGTATAAAAATTCTGTATCACCATCAATGACTTTTTCACAGTATAGGAACCTTAGCTTGTACTTTTTTAATAAGTTTTTTTTTGAAAAAATTAAATATTGTTATTTAAAAATAATTGTTTACCACTACCCTTTAAATTTTGTTTTTTCAGGCTAATGATAAGCAGGACTGGAGAACAAGACGCAGCAATGGTATCCCGTCTTTAGAAATCACTGATCAACAAAATCAGCAGGTAATTAAAATCTTGCGAAATCAAATATTTATCAAGTGGCTCTTACGATATCACAAGGCGAAGCCATCTTTCCTTTAAATAAATAGATGTTTAGATTTTTTGCGCCGAGTTCTGTTAAGTGTTTTTTTTTAATATGAGGTGAAGTTCTTAACAAAGAGAAATTATGACGGTTTTCTTGTGATAGCTATATTAAGAATAAAAAAGTCTTATAAAATTTAAATTGATAATTAAATTATCTCGTAAAAATCCCCCCACCTATGTCGGTGCATATGCATAAACTTCACCAATAATACGTCACGAACAAATAAAAAATCTTATTCTCCTGGCAATTCCGAAATCATCTATCGTCCCAAGTAACTAACTATCGAAGATAGTTCTGCTTAAGAATGTATTTATTTGCACGTACAAGCAATAAACTTGAACGTACGGGACGTCCACAGGAAAGTTTACAGCACAGAAATATCTGTATTGACTATCAAGAAAACATTATAAGAAACAAGAAAAGAAGCTAGCTTCGGCAAGCCGAAGCTTATATACCCTTGCAGTCATCAAATATGTCGAACAAAATACATAAAGGCTAAACAACATCGAAGCTAAGAGGATTTTTCTAATCATTTTCCATATTTTCGACTATAGATCATATGGGAGCTATAGTTGTCCGATTTTGATCAAATTTAACTCGTAATTCAAGAGTCGCAAGAAAACTCTATATTCCAAAAATCATACTTGTCTGATGAAAAACGATGTTATAATTTTATTTCCGTTATTTCTATATAGATTTTTCGATCTTTCCTATGGCAGCTATAAGATATAGTTGTCCGATTTTTATGAAACTTTTTTCTCCAATATAAGAGTTCTTAAAAAACTTGATATTCAAAAAATCATGCTCATGGGGTAAAAAACAACGATGTTATCAATTTATTTCCATTAAAATAATTTTATAAAATTAATAACAAGTCTAATTTCTAAAAATCATGATTCTCGATGAAAAACAACGATGTTATCATTTTCTTTGCGTTAATTGTATATAGATTTTTCCATCTTTCCTATGGCAGCATTATGATATTGTTGTCCGATTTTTAAGACATTTTTTCTCGCTTTAAACCTCGGTGTTCTAAAAATCATGCTCGTGGGATAAAAAAAACGTTATAATTTTTCGCCACTATTTTTATTTATATTTTTCGATCTTTCCTATGCCAGCTATATGATATAGTCATCCGATTTTGATATCGGATGGCTGGACCGGATCGGGCGACTATATCGGATAGGTCCCATAGGAGAAAAAAAATTATATCTCTAACTTCTTTAGTTAAACAGGCCAGTAATTAACAATATTTCTTAGGAAATCAACCTCTTGTTTATTCACACTCTTCTATAGTTTTCTAGGTTATGTAGGGATGTTTTTAATTCGATACAAACGATATGATATTTAAGGAGCCCTCCTACTTGGCGGGTATTTTTAAATTCGTAACACTTAACTTCAACACTTTCCCTTGTAAGAATTTGAAAATAACATTTCAATTGACAAACTTGAAAATCTTATGATTCTATATAAAGCAAAGTATATAGTGGTTTTCTCCTTCAGAAGAGTCCAATCTTGTTGCAAAGAATCCGTAGACGAGTATTAAGAATCGGCTTTGTCATCATATCTGCGAGTTGTTCCTCAGTCGGGATTTGCTCGATTCCAAATTCTCCCTCAGAAATTCTTTCCCTGGAAAAGAAATGCTTGTTGGCTATTTGCTTTGTCCTGCGATGGAATTCCGGGTTTTGAGCCAGACTCATGGTCCGTAGCATTGTCGACCTGAAGAATTGGGGCTCCGTCCAATCTGTCGATTTCCTGCAACAATCTTTTAAGCCTAATTATTTCTTTTGCAGCTTTATTGGCTGCTACTATTTCAGCCTCTTTATAAACATGATCATGATACCTGATGTAGATCTCCCAGTCTTCGTGCAGGCACCAAAGTCTGCATCACTGTAGCATTCGAGGATTCTCTTCTTTTGTTTTCGATAGACTATCCCAACGTTGATAGTTCCTGAAATGTAACGGTAGACCCTCTTAACTTGTGCAATATTTTCGTTTGTTGGATTCTCAAGCGTTGTTGAATGAAATCCGATGCTGAAAGCCAAGTCTGGTCTAGTTCCAAGCATGAGGTACATAAGAGCTCCGATGGCTTGGCGATAAGGGAACGCAGTGGTCTCTGACTCTTTTCCTTCTGTCGAAATTCTAAACTCTAGAGAAGTGGGGTTCCAAAATCTTTCTGGCATATCCTTGTTTACTTATTTTAAGTCAATTTTCTTGTTTCTTGATTTCGAGTCCCAAGAAGTACTCAGCCTTGCTTGAGACAATTTTGAACTCCGATTTTAGCTCATTCAAAAATTCTTCCAAGTCTTGAGTATCTGTTGCTGCGGCGAGTCCGTCATCTACATAAACGACAAGTAAAATCTTTTTGTCATTTCTTTCCCTGATATAAAGACATGCATCCGCCTCGCTGACTTTAAAATTGTGTTTCCGCAGGAAACCTCCGAAGCGTTCTTGCCAACATCTTGGCCCTTGCTTAAGCCCGTAGAGCTCTTCTTCAATCTGCAAAGAAGCTCCTGTCCTTGCTCGTATCCCTCTGGTTGTTGCATGTAAATTTCCTTGTCGTCCAATTCACCGTATAAAAAGCTGTCGAGACGTCAAACTGGACCAAAAACATATTATTTTTGGTTGCAACGCTCAACACTGAGCGGATTGTTTCCATTCTTGCAACAGAGCTAATCGTTTGGTCGTAATCAATCCCTTGTTTCTGAGCGAATCCTTTTATGACCAAACCAGCTTTGTATTTGTCAATGCTTCCGTCGAAATGAGTTTTGACTCGATAGACCCACTTGCACGGGCAGTCTAGTTAAGTTCCAAGTTTCATTTTGATGCAAGGAATCAATTTCCCTCCATTGCCCTTTTTCACTCGACCTTGCTGTTGATGGCTTCCTAGAAGGATCCTGGACTCTCAGCTGCTGCTATGTAGTTATCCGATCTCTTCAACTTTGAACGATCCCGCAACCGCATTGAGTGTAAGTTTCTCTTGTTGCTTTCTTCGTCGAAACTTATTTCTTCTCCGGTTTCGTAATTATCTTCGCTTTCTATTTCGGCTGCATCTTCCTTTAAGTCTTGCTCCTGAAGTGTGTCTCGTCCTCTGGTGCAAATTTGCGTGTTCTTCTTTCTTGTCTTCTACGTCGTCCTTGGAACCAAGATCTTGAAAAGGTAGGTTTTCTTCTTCAAATTTTACGTCCCTCGACGTGTCTACTTTGTGCTTCTCTGTCGTAACCCACCAGGTACTACTTTTCAGATTTTTCGTATTGAAAACGTAGACTGCTGTGCTGACCAACTCGGCCCAAATTGGTTCTGGAAATTTGATTTCTGGATTAGAATACTTAAAAGTTCTCGCCATTTAGACTACCGTTCGATTCTCTCTCTCGATACAGCCGTTTTGTTCTGGAGTATAGGGAGCGGTGAGTCGAAAAGTTATACCACCTTCCTGGAGAATTTCTCTGACTCCTGCACAGTCAAATTCTCCTCCGTTGCCACTCAGGAATTTCCGAATTGTGTGCCCTTGTTGCTTGGCATAAGAAACCATGTGTCGTAGCACGTCATTTACGTCTGGCTTTTGCTTAACGATGTACCCGTATCGAAACCTGGTGAAATGATCCTTAAAAACTACCAGGTACCTCTTCTTCTGGAAAGAATCCTCAAATGGCCCGCAAACATCGCCTGACATCAGTCCCCCCTGGGTTCACCGCTGGTTTCCTTGTTCCGAATGGCAATCGATGCGCCTTTCCAAGGATGCATGGCTCGCAAAAGCTACCCTCTAGCTTGTCTTTAATGTCCATTTCTCCTTTGAGCATATCGTTGATGTGGTTCTTATCCTGATGATCCCACCTCTCGTGGTAGAGTTGGAGAATTAAAGTTCCTGAAATTGCGACGTTGATTTCGTCGTTTCGTTCTGGAAGAATAGGCTCGATCCCTGCACTTTAGATTTTTCCTCCGACTTCTCTGGCACCAACGAAGACAACCTTGTCGCTTATATTGAGAGTGCACTCTGTTGCGGACGACTCAATACGACTACTTGGATTATTGTCTTGGGCAGCCAAAACTGAAAATAGATTCTTCGTTATGTTTGGAATAAACCACACATTTTCTATCGAAAGAAAAATAATTTTTATCATTGCCAAACGTTTTTACCTGTGCCCTGGCCGAAAGCTGATAAGGTTTCGTTTACAGCTGCTCTGATCCATCGACATTTCGTTCTGGAAGAATGGGCTCAATCCCTGCTCTGCAGAGTATTCCACAAACCACACATTTTCTAAAGAAATAAATAGAATTTTTACATTTACAAACGCTTTCACTTTGATTGTGCCCTGGCCCAAAGCTTGAAGGGTCTCATTTCCAGCTGCTCTGATCCAACTCGGATTCTCAATCTTTTCAAAAAACTCGAAATACTTTGCAGTCTTCACAACATGTTTTATTGCACCGTTGTCTATCCACCAGTCGACCTCTGAGTTTGCCTATGCTGCAAACACACCGTTGTGGACTGAGACGAGAGTTAACGTTGGTTCTGCACAATTTTCTTGTTCAGCATTCTGGTTGCTCGGCTTCGGACATCCAAATTTCTTCCATTTTATACAGTTCCTGACCCAGTGCCCCTTTTTCTTGCAATAGTGGCAGGTATCAAATCTTCGACCAGATGCTCCTGAATCCTGACGATGGTCCCTCTTTGATGCAGTAGGAAAAGCCTACTGGCTTTCCTTTTCATTACTATCTTTTGACGGAACGTTTCAAAGGTATTTGGCAAGTCTTTCCCATGTATCGTGAGCTGTCTCCTTGTCCATAATCTTCTGGTACACTGAGTCCGTAACCGCAGTGGTGATCATGTATTTTGTATAGCTGTTGCCTTACCAAAAAAGTCACTCTGCTCCTTGTGCTTATTTTCTATTGCTGTTAAGGCATCTTCTGGCAATGGTTCTGGTTTGACGATCTTTCCGTCCACCGAGAGCACCGTCGTGATAATCTATCAGGTCCGTAATTTTTATTTTCCAAATCGGCCAATCGGTCGCACCTGAGAGCTTCGTAACGTGCTTCGCCAATCCATCGCAATCGATGGTTTTTCTTTTACTTTAAACAGAACAAAACGTTCCTGGGCCCATAACCTATTATATCTTTAACTTCTTTAGTTAAATAGGCCAGGAAATTAACAATATTTCTTAGGAAATCAAGCTCTTGTAGATTCAGACTCTTCTATAGCTTTCTAGGTTATGTAGGTATGTTTTTAATTCGATACAATCGATATCATATTTAAGGAGCCCTCCTACTTGGCGGGTATTTTTGAATTCGTAACACTAAACTTCAACAGTGTCAACTCTTTGCTAAGCCACGGTGAAAAAAATGTAATGGCGCCTTCCATATTATTGCGGGGTTAAAGATCCACCTGTCATTGCCAGATATAAGATGATTAAGTCTCAGAAAGCAATGATGATACGGATCTTCAGGCAGCGTAAGTGGTGTTGCTCTGGAGAGAAATACAACTGCAGGATTTGAGACAAGGCACAAATCGAGTAAACGATCCAATGAGTTTCGAACATAGTTTACCAGACTCAAAGGTATATTAAGTAGACTGTCAACGAATTCATAATATAATTATCCGATTTTGATAAAATTTAATTTTAAATTCAAATGTAGTTAGAATACACTATCTGAAAGAAATAAAGTCGATATGGTAAAAATCAACGCCGTGAGAATTTTTTCTTTCGTTCTTTTCTATGGGAGCTATCCTATATAGTCGCCCGATCTACGGTCTGACTTATATATTGCGTGCAATAGCTACACAACTTTTGGGAAAGTTTCAGCAAGATAGCTTTAAAACTGAGACTAGTTTAAAAATAAAAAGACAGACGGACAGACGTACATACGTATTTCGGTTCAGATCGTGATGCTGATCAAGAATATATATATTTTATGAGGTCTGAGGTGTCTCCTTCACTGCGTTGCAAACTTCTGACTGAAATTATAATACCCTTTACTCTGCAAGGGTATAAAATCAAGAATATATATACTTTATGGAGTCAGAGGTGTCTCCTTTACTGTATAAAAATGCACATAGATTCGATGTTGTTTAGCATTTATGTATTGGGAGTCGAAATAGAAAACCGCCGTTTTTTCTCATAATTTGATGTTTTATTGTCAAAAATTCGCTACAGTCCCATTCTTCAAAATAATTTCCATCCTTAGCCACAACTTTTTCCCATCTTTCTGGCAGGTTCTGAATTCCTCTTCGAAAAAACTGTTTGTCTTTTGACGCGATCCACGAACCGATCCAATTGTTTGTTTCTTTGTAAAAACGAAAGTGCTGTTCGGCCATGCGTCATCAATCGGAAGAGGTAGAAATCAGATGGGGCGATGTCAGGAGAGTACGGTAGGTGCTATAGGATGTCTCATTTTTAAAGTTTCCAGGTATGTTTTCACGACTTTGGAAACATGTTCCACGTACTGTGGCCGTTTTTCCTTTAACACTCGACTCAAGCGAATCACTTGCGTCCGTAAAGGTCTCCCGTGGGGAGGGTTGCAATATTTCGTGTGGAGGGTTCATATTTCGCATCCCCAAACTTATTGACGGGTCCGGGATGCTCCTTATCATTCACTTCATATTCGCCATTTTTAAACTTTTGGAACCGTATCCGACACGTTGTTTCACTTATAAAGCTCTCACCATTAGTTTCTACATCCATTCGACCCGCCTGAGGTTCATTTTTTTTCGAATAAATGCAAAAGCAACAGTTCACGCAAATGTGCCTTGTTCGGCTCAAATTTTGCCATTTTTGCGCACGAACAAAACAAAGCACATCAAGAATAGACAAACGAATCGATAAAGAGTTGTTCACAAATGCCTCAGCTGGGTATGTGACGTTCCTGTGCATACTTTTTTACCGACGTCCAACGCTGGCCCCACCTAAAGGAAAACGGCGGTTTTCAATTTGTACTCTCAATATTTGGTTCGATACATGTATTTGATGACTGCAAAGGCAGTCATCGGCAAGCCGAAGCTAGTTTTCTTTCTTCTTTTTATTGCTGTCCCCTGGCGAAAGAATTAAAAAAAACCATAGTAGTAAACTATTACTTTCAATCTATATGTTTCGGCTACTAGAATAACTTCTTCTTTTCCAGGATACAGAGACACGTTGTCTGAAACGTGGTCATGTGCTCAAGGAACTTTTGGAGACAGAACGCATCTACGTAAATGAAATGGGTTCAATCTTAAAGGTAATACAAAAAAATGTATGTGTTTATTATTTTATTTGTTATTATTATATTATATTAAACTAGCAAGAGCAGCTTCGTCTGTGAATATTAGGCTGCAAACATAGTGCGCGCTGAGACGAAGATGAAGATGAAGACGAAGCTGAAGACGAATTGCTTGCGTTGCGAGTAAGCTAATAGGTTACATAGTGCAAGACGAATTTGTTGCGATTTTATGATGTTACTCGCAATGGATTTCTCTTCAGATGATAAGCTGCTGTTAGATGAAAGTTTATTTTTTAAATTAAAATATAAAATACAAAGTGAATGGAAGAATACACACAATTAATTTGGGAAGAAAAGCATTCGGCGAATTTCATCATGTATTTAATGAGCCTGCGTCAAGATGAAAAAAAGTATACCAGAATGAAAATCAGCACATTTGGTTATATTCTGTTAAAAATTGAAAATCCCAATTATACCTGCAGAAAGGCTAATTGTAACGTTAAGGTAGAACATTATTCAAAATATATTTATTTTTATTCATTTCAATAATTTTAACTTTTCATGTAATAATGTTTCCTGATGAAAGTTACTGGCTCGGCTCCGATGGGGATAAAGCATTATCGGAATATTGAGTTGACGAAGATTCAAATACAGTCGGTAATGGTAAAGATATGTTAGAAGCCTGGTTTTGGATATTTTGAAATTGAAAAGAGCGCCCCACGTTGTTCGCATAGTTATAAACTGATTTTTGCATGTCCATTCTGCATAAAAAGTTCAATTTTTCTTACTTGTGGCAATAAGCTCATAAAAAAGCCATATCCTCATCGTCAGCTGGAATCTTGTTTTTATTTTTCAGCTCCAACTTCTTTTTTTCTATATTGAGGATTTCACCCTCAATGTTGTTATGGATTTTGTTTAAGATCTCTTGGGGTATGTTTTGGGATGGACGTTTCAACTACAAATGTAATGTTATATAATGTCATTTTTTTCATCATATTGCGGCGCCTCTTGATCTGCACTATGCATCGCCTCTATATCTGAACTACTAGAATCTTCGCCAATATAAATGTTTATATCCTTAACATCATGAGTTTTGGGGTGACTAAAATTTCCGGAAGACTGGCGGCACTTTATCTGGTCCTTTATAAAATTCATCGACTCAAAATGAATCCATTGGGAACACATCTCAGTGAGGGTATCAGGTCCAGCGTCGCCAGAACGTTCCGGTGGAAATTTCCTCAGTTCAGTTTGAAACGTGTCCCTCAACTGTATCCATTTTTTTTTTCAAAGACATGACTGAAAAATAAATACATATTTTAATATTTCAGTAGTTACGATAATAACATTGTTTTAACTGGCTTTCTTGTTTTAGATATCTCGCTACTGGCACTTCATTTAGATCTATATCTTTTAACTTTCGAATGGGTGCTTCAACGGTTCGTTCTATTGTGATAGAAAGCGAAGCTTTGTGGACAGTTTTGCAACCTCTAGATATGGCTATTCACACAGAACAAAATTTATCAAAAGTTGCGGATTAGTATTGGAATCTTTGGCAATTTCAAAATTGTGTTGGATCTATTCGTGGAAAGCACATTCGTTTAAAGTGTTCAGTGCATTCAGGATCAATGTTCTAAATTTATAAGAAATTTTTGTCAATAGTGCTGCAGGCAGTAGCAGACGCAAAGTGTAAATTTGTTACCATCGAAGTTGGTGGTTACGGACGGCAAAGTGATGGTGGAACTTTTGCTTCCTTAGCGTTCTACACAATGATAATTCTAGAGACTTAAAGTTTCCGATGGATTCCTATTTGCCCAATACCATCATAACTATGCCATATGCTTATCTTTTTTTTGGACTTCTTCGACCTTATGCCATAAGAAATCTAACATTGGAAAATAAATACTTTATTCGTCGTTTGTCCAGAGCGCGAAGGTGTGCGGAATTAACTCCAAGTGGAGGATATTATGGAAGCCAATTGAAACGACATCACCCAACGCAGAAATTATTGTTTAAGCATTTTGTATACCGCATAATACAATGTTCGATTTACAAAATCTGGACACTCACATGCAAGAGGGAGAAAAATTTATAAGCAACAATTCAAAAAATATATTGGAAAGTTCAAAGAAAAGAGGTCGAATAATCAGAGACACGTTTCGTAGTATGTTTGCAACCATAGAAATGCTGATAGTATTTAAGAATTTGATTTTATAATTATCTTTCTTTGCATTAATATTAATTAAATTACTTACCATCAACATTCAATTCCTTTGAAATGTCGTTTCAATTTTGGTCGACAATGTGCCTATTGTGGTAAAATTTGTTTTGTTGTTCCCATGAATAACGTTATTTTAAAACAGCTGCAATTAACTCTTCGTTTATGTATTACAGACATTTTAGAAAACATGTGCGTCAGGCAAATCACAAATCAAAAGTAAATTGTAACATGCGCTGCGCCAAAGCATGGGTAGAAGGAGAGAAAAATAATAACAAAGGCAAAATAGCAAGCGATTTGTCTTCAAAAACCGTACTGCACCGTTTGAAGCTGATTGCTTGCGTTTCGTCTTCGTCTTTGCGCGCACTATTTTTACGGACAGCGAATTCATATAACTTGTTCTTCACTGTTTTTTGTCTTCAGCATCGCCTTTATCTTCATCTTCGTCCCAGCGCGCACTATGTTTGCAGCCTTAAGATAAAAATGTTCGCTTGCCCTCGTGTTTTTTATACCCTTGCAGAGCAAAGGGTATTATAATTTCAGTCAGAAGTTTGCAACGCTGTGAAGGATACACCTCAGACCCCATTTACCTTCTTCACTCCACCTGGGAGCATAGGGCCTCTACGATTTTTGTAGAGGATTCATTAATCTTTTGGTTTTTGATCGTACTGGTGATTAGCCAGTAGCGACTTATACTAGCGGTGGGATTGCCACGTGGCGCCATCTATGAGTGACGGAAGTTCTATTATTGTGTCCGTAGTAAAGTGGACGAGAGGGTGTGCGGGTCCGGGGAGCCGAAATTGTTTTGAGTCTGTACGTCTGTTACATCTGTACGTCTGTTACATCGGTACGTCTGTTACATCTGTACGTCTGTAACATCTGTACGTCTGTTACATCCGTACGTCTGTTACATCTGTACGTCTGTTGCATCTGTACGTCTGTTACATCTGTACGTCTGTTACATCTGTACGTCTGTATGTCTGTCCGTATGACCGTCTGTTCGTCTGTCTGTTTCTCTGTAAACTAGTCTCTCAGTTTTAAAGCTATTTTGCAGAAACTTTCCATAAAGTTATGTAACAATTGCACGCAAAAAAAAAATTATTACTTCGCTATGATATTATTAGATCGACTTGATTTCTTCCAGATGGTGTTTTTTAACTAATTTCGGATTTCGAAATAAATTTTTATTAAAATCGGAAGATTCTATCAAATAGCTGCCATAGGAAAGATCGAAAAATATATATGTACAGTCGACTTTCGTTAATTCGAAACTCGAGAGACTCTTGAAATATTTCGAATTATCGAGTGTTTGAAATATCAAATGGTTCAAAATTTGCGAGAGAAAATAAATAAAACTTCGAATTATTAAGTGTTGGTTAATTTGTATTTATTAATATAAAAATGATAAGAATTAAGAGGTACATTCGTGTACGTACATATGTACATGTATTCGTAATGTGAATTAATTTATCTTTCGAAAGAACTTTGTTATACTGGTTTGCTTTAAAGCACAATTCTGCTCACACACTGCTCAATAACTTTTTTTAAGAGAAAAAGTGCCTGAAATGCTTTTTCATCACTTTCGTTTTGTAGACATAAGCTTTGTAAGGTATCAATTAAGGATCTTTATACTTTCTTGGGCTTATAGCTAACACTAACTTTTAATATGCATACCAACGAAAGAGTAACAGTAACTGAATAACTACACAAACCAATTGGTAAGAAGTGTGTGCGTCAAATGGTCAAACTACATAATCAAAACAAAAACAAAGGCAAGTTTGAACTTGTCGCAAAACTTCCGCCTTTTTTCTCTGCAACTTTGAATTGTCGAGTGTAAGACGCTGATGAGTTCGAATTAACGCGTGGTTTGGTTAAATATCAATGATTTTTCGTTCGAATTACCAAGTGTATGAAAATGTATGGATTTAGTTCGAAATATAAAGAGATTTCGTAGGGACCTCGTGATAACTTTGAATTATAGAGAGGTTCGAATTATCGCAGGTTTGAATTAACGAGAGTCGACTGTATGTTTAAAAATAATGAAAACAATTTTGCTTAGCCCTTATGTATTTGGTTCGACTTATTTGATGACTGCAAGGAAGCTAGCTTCCTTTCTTGTTAAGTTAGTTGTTGCTGTTTTTGGACATTAAAACGACTGATTATGGCTGTATCATCAGCAGAGGTTAATAAAATTGTCTAACTGCTTTTGAAAATATCAGCCGCATATATGTAGGACATTCAAGTGCACACTTCCTTGGGGTACTTCAGCTTCGGTTTTGTGGCTGGCAGAGGTGAAGTTTTTACATCTTACTATAAATACTCTGTCTTTGAGATAAGATTCAATCAGTGTTTTATGGTTTATGGTAGCTCAGTGTTGATTTTGTAAACCAGGCCGTCAATCTAAACGCGATTGAAGGCTTGAGATACATACGTCTAGGAATAAGGCAGTGTAGAAGAAAATAGTAGAAATTGTAGAAGAAAATAGCCTCATTCAAGTATTAAATTGAATATGATGGTGATACATTTAACCGCACATACAGGCAGTTCAATTATTAATTTAAGCGGGGCTTTTTGGATTCATCTCTTTGGTTGTACTTGTTTCAAAAATAATTTTGAATAATAATTTAGAGGAAGGCTCTGCTGATGGGATATTTCGAAGAGTAAATTTATTCGCCGGCGGATGAGGTTGGAAGACATTTTCTAAGTGAGAGGTGAAGATGTTGGTCTTTCCCTCGACACTACGCGTCGGGTATGATTGGTGGTTGAATGATTGGGTGCGCTATCGATAGCAAATCTTTGTATCTTTGATTAAGGTAACATCGATAATGGCCTGACAGTTTTTGTTTATAAAAGTGGGGTGCTTCGCCTGTTGCTTAAATACAGTTTTGAGTTAGGAACGAAGTTAAAAAAAACATTCACTCCTGTTGTTGCCTTTCGGGCTTCCCCGCTGAATATGGTGGGGGTTTGCATCGCTGCCAATAACCAGACATACTACGTTGAGTAGCTCGCTGTTTGTAATGATTTTTCGCACGCTTGGTGTTCTCTTTTTTAAAGCCATATACGCTGACAGTAGCCTTATTGAATGAACCATTAACCATGGTAGAAAAAGTACGAGGTGTGTTCAAAAAGTATCGCGAATTTTGTGTTTTTTCAAAAATTATTTATTTATTCATGAATATCTATTTTGTCCCCTTCAAAGTAATCCCCATGAGATATTATGCACTTGTGCCAACGATTTTTCCAATCTTTGAAGTACTTCAAAAAACTTTTTTTATCTTGTTCAGCTCTTCCTTCGTTGCCGTCTTTATCTCGTCAAGCGTAGCGTAACGTCGTCCTTTCATGGGCCTCTTCAGTTTAGGAAACAAGAAAAAGTCACAGGTGGCCAGATCTGGGGAATACGATGGCTGCGGCATCATTAGTGTGTTGTTTTTGGCCAAAAAGTCGCGCACAAGCAACGATGTGTGAGCAGGGGCATTATCGTGGTGCAAAAGCAGATTTTTGTTCTTCCACAAATCCGGGCCTTTCTGGCGGATTGCTTTGCGCAAATTGCGCATAACTTGCAGGTAATATTCCTTATTGACCGTTCTTCCCTGTGGCAAGAACTCATGATGCACCACGCCCCTGCAATCGAAGAAAACTGTCAGCAAAACTTTCATATTCGACCGAACTTCAAGTGCTCGGGCGTCCGGCACGCTCTTCGTCGTTCACATCTTCTCGGCCTTCTGAGAACATTTTGTACCACCGATAAACGTTGCTTCGGTCCAAGGTAGCTTCTCCGTATGCCACAGTCAACATTTGGAATGTATCCACGCACTTAATTTCGTTTTTCACACATAATTTGATACAGGTTCTTTGTGTAACACGTCCAAAAACACGTGTAAGCAAAGCAGCTTTCAAAAATTAAGTGAACATTCAAAATGGCCGAGCTTGTCGGCATAAGTGAGAGACATGAGTTCCAACATAACGCCACAAAAAAATCGAAATTCGATACCAGGTACCCCGCGAAAATTCAAAATTCGCGATACTTTTTGAACACACCTCGTATAAAGTCGTATCTTCGGCTGACAAATACTGCGGGTTTAGTCCATTAAAGTTCAGTGTGGTTTTTGAACTGAACGGTTTTGCGCAGACGATATTTTTTTAAAACTTAAACCCTTGTGAGCAAAGGAAACTTACTTATTATGTAAATAATAATATAGCGTCGCACACTATAAAAGAAAATTCTGAAGTGCAGGTCTAGCCAAAAATTATAAAATTGTAAGAATAATTTACCCACTTGTAATATGACGAGCTATTTTAAAACACATGCTTTGCATAAGGTTAAAAAAAATCAGGCGAAAGCCCCAGCAGATATGGCTGTTTCCCCTTCCCGGTAGCCTAAGTTTTAACATAGGCATACAGTGTAAAATAAATAATAATAAATAAGGTTTAAAAACACTCCCTACTGCTGTTTTTTTGCACAATTTTTCGAAGACAACCTTTTACTTCAACTTATTGCATTGAATGGTAAGGTACTGACGTAACCGAATATGGGTGGGACCTAATTGTTTCTCCAGTTTGATTACATTCCAATTCTTAGCTGAATAAATATAAAATCGAATTTTTCTAATTCATAACTATTTTTCCTTATATGTTTTGTTTCATTTGATTTGGAAAATGTCCAAATTGTTTTAAGCTTATAAGCCCAAAAAGAATGAATGATGAATCATATAAAAAACAAGAAAGGAAGCTAGCTTCGGCAAGCCGAAGCTTATATACCCTTGCAGTCATCAAATATGTCAAACATAAAGGCTAAACAAGATCGAAGCTAAGAAGAAGCTATTCATTTTCCATATTTTCGACTATAGATCATATGGGAGCTATATGATATAGTTGTCCGATTTTTATCAAATTAAATTCGTAATTGAAGAGTCTTTAGAAAATGTTATATTCCAAAAATCATGCTTATCAGATAAAAAACAACGATGGTATAACTTTATTTCCGTAATTCCGAAATTCAAAAATAGTTAGAAAACGCCATCTTGAAGGAATCAAGTCGATCTGAACAAAAACAACAGAGTGAGAATTTTTTATTTCATTCTCTCGTATGGGAGCTATCCGATATAGTCGGCCGTTCCGGCCTGTTCCGACTTATATACTGCGTGCAATAACTACACACCTTTTGGAAATTTTCAGCAAGATAGCTTTAAAACTGAGAGACTAGTTTTCAGAGGAGGATAGAGGGACAGACGGCAGTAAACATTTTTCGATCGGGCCCTACCCAAAATTTTTTCTGCGTCTGCCCCTGGGAAAGGTCGAAAAATATATCTATAAATAATGTTAAAATTATCGAAAATAAATTAAAAAAAATTGACAGAGCTTGAAGTTTTTTTTTTTTTTTATCAAAACGCCTTTTGTTCGCAAGCAATTACATACTTACAAAAACAGATTTTAAGCAGTATTTTATATAGGGATTTATATTTATATGGCAATATAAATGGCAATATGATATAGTAGGGACTAAAAATATGATGTAGTCCCTACTATATCATAATGCTGTCATATAAATCACAAAATTTATGTTAAATTTCGTAAATCTAGAGACGTAATGTATAGTACACTTTATTGGTAAACTTTCAAGAGTCAAACTAATAACAGGAAAAAGTATGAGGTGTTATTGTAACTATAAATATGTGTGTCTTATTTTTTTCTACATTTATGTTATAAGGGTAAGGGTATTTAAGATTCGGCTCGCCGAACCTATCTTTTTGAATTAACTGTTTGGCAGAGTTTCTTTAAAAATTAAGTCTACATTTTATATTGCCTATTCTTCCAGGGCTACAGTGATCGCCTTAAGTCAGAAGTTCAAGCCCCTGCGAGTCTACAAGGGAAAGAAGATATACTATTTGGAAACCTTAAAGAACTATATAGATTTCATTGTGAAGTTTTTCTAAAGGATCTTGAAAACTGTATTTCAGCCACTGAACTGGTTGCCCTATGCTTTGTTCAAAGGGTAGGTTTTAATTAGTTAGCCTTAGCTTTTATTAATTTTCTTAATTATAGCGCGACACATTTTATCAATTGTACTCATTCTATTGCCAAAATATCCCACGTTCAGAGAGGTTGCGTGAAACCCTAGTAGATACACATATATTTCTCCAAGAGTGTCAAAAACGACTTGGTCATAAACTCCCGCTGGCTGCATATTTGTTAAAGCCAGTTCAGAGGATTACAAAATACCAGCTCCTTTTAAAGGACTTGCTGCGCTTCAGCGATAGTGGTAGCTGCTCCAAGGAACTTCAAAAGGCACTTGATTGTATGCTTATCGTTTTAAAATGTGTCAACGACTCTATGCACCAAGTAGCAATAACCGGGTTTCCGGTAGGTACTTTCTTTTTAATTAATATATCCGCGGTAACGCAGAAAAATATTACATTTTTCAGGGTGACGTAGCACAACAGGGTGAACTTTTGATGCAAGACTCATTCCAGGTTTGGACAGAATCCAAAAAGGATATTCGCCTTCGAATCAAGCCGCAGCAGCGACACATATTCCTCTATCAAAAATCAATGCTGTTTTGTAAGGAAACTTTAAAGCCCGGCCACAACAAAAGCACCTATCAATTTAAGAACCATGTTAAGGTAATATTTTCTTTATTAAATTTAAAGTTGATTGGTGACGAGCTCATAATGTTAAGCGAACTTTACTCAAGTATTTCAAATATTACAAGTTTTTTTGGTACGACTGGCATTGCAAGTATCAAAGCCACTGGTTATGTGACTTAAATTTAGCTGCTGAGTTTTATTAGCTTCCTTTGCTGCAGCCTTCTTACAATTTTTCACTTACAAAATATAATTTTTACTTTTTGAATATATAACTAGTTAAAATTGGATTCATGTACCACTTTTTTTTGTATTTACATCTACAGATGTCGCAAATTGGATTAACGGAGTCTGTGAGGGGTGATACAAAACGCTTTGAAGTTTGGCTACAAGGGCGCCAGGAAGTTCATACCTTGCAGGCACCTTCAGTTGATATAAAACAAAAATGGGTTGCAGAGATCAAACGTGTCCTCTTCAATCAACTCGAGGAACTAAAAGGAGAGAAAATAAAACAATATGGAATAAATCAACAGGATTTTAGACAAACAACTTTTTGGGATTCCCCAAGCAATACTGTAACTCCTACTAACCACACAATATATGTAGAAACCCTTCCAGAGGCTTCTAACCTGAAGTCGAAATGCAGCAGCGACTTTTTTAGTACTGTTACCGAATTGTCGGACAAGGATCAACAACAAAATTGCAGTTTTAGCTTAGAATGTTCAAACAGCGAAGAGGAACTGGCTTTTCTTGAAGAAAGTAGCTCCCCGGTAGGTTAACTAAACATCTTAACTATAAGATACATCTAAGTATGAGTTAACTATTGACTTAGCACAGAACTCTATTATCCTTAGGACATGCAACACTTTTTTCTATTATTAATTTTATAATATAAATATATATTTTTGTGTTTATTATAGTTTATAGTTATTAACATATTTATATATTACAGCAGCAGTAGACTTGTATGTACAAGTATATTAAAGTCCGTCAGTTTTTATTCCCTTCATAGCAAATGGTATTATAATTTCAGACACATACAGAGACACCTCAGACCCCATAAAGTATACATATTCTTGATCAACTTCTGACTGAAATTATAACACCGTTTTGCTCTGCAAGGGTATAAATATTATAACTTCGATGTTTTTAATCCCAAGATCATGATTTTTAAAATATGGAGTGTTTTAAAAACCCTTGAATCGAGAAAAAAATTTGATTTATGGTAAATCCGACAACGTGGTCATATAGCTGCCATTAGAAAGATCAAAAATCTATATAGAATTAACTGAAATAAAACGATAACATCGTTTTTTTTTTTTCAGGCAATCATGATTTTTGTGTTTCGTATTAAATTTCACAAAAAATACAAGAAGTTTGCAACGCAGTGAAGGAGACTCCTCAGACCCTTTAAAGTATATATGTACCTATAAATAAATAAGAAATTATGACAACGTTGTTTTTGATTAGATCGACTTAGTTTCTTCCAGATGGTGTTTTTTAACTACTATCAAATTCCGAATCAAATTTTATCAACATCGGATAACTCTATCATATACAATAGCTGCCATAGGAAAGATCGAAAAATATATATAGAAATAATGAAATAATTTTTTATCCCACGACCATGATTTTTCAACATATTTGATGTCTGCAAGGGTATATAATCTCATAGCTTCCAAATCAATTTATGATCGTTGCTGTCTATACAGAGGCAAGCCTTACATCAGAATGTTAAGCAGTTCCATTATTTGTGCGAAATCTGGCATACATTGGCAGTACCCTGACGGTCAGGGCCTGACCCGACGTTCTGACGTTGTTAGACGGTGTCCAAAGTAAAACCGCTTAAAGAACTAGCTTAAAGAGTCATTTTTCGCATTTCTGCTTAAGTTGGCTTCTCTTCAGAGGTTACACGAATCCCAGTGCAGGAAAATAGGCTTGTTTTAAATAACAATTTTTTATAAAAATTTGATAAGCTTAAGTTTTTTAATGTATTTTTTGTGTTAAAATAATCTAGGATTGGCCTAAGCCAATGCAGGCATCTGGTGTCATAACGCAATGGGTATCTGATTTTTTTTTGTTTCCTAATTGAGGTATATTAAGAATTAAATTTAAAATTTGAAAACTATTACCTCGACTTATACATTTATTTGGTAAATCTTAAACAGGGTGATACATTTGTTGTGCTGGCTGATTATTCAGCCATGACACACTCGGAAGTTGCGATGCGGGAAGGAGATACGGTAGAACTGCTGAAGGTGGGATGTGCTGGTTGGTGGTACGTGAGAACTTTAGGTAACTTATAAATTTGATAAGAGCAAAATTTTGAACTATTTGTTATTAATCCACATCTAATAATCGTAGGTTTATATCACTCGCCCTATGTATTCAAAAAAATTAATGAATAAAAAAGTAATGGAATTCATTATTCAAACATCTCGTAGCAAAATTAACTTTAAAAACCATATTTTTTGGAAAAAAATAATAGAACACGATTTTGGTGAAAGTTTTAAAGATTTTACATTACAATGCGACAAGATATTTGTAAGATATTCCGTTTTAACTTAAAAAATTTCGGAAAAGTCATGTTATTGTTATTTAATCAAAGCAAGTGATCATAAAAACCTAAATGGCAGATTACCCTCCTTATCTTTTGTTTTAACATTTAGCTATTCGTACTGATTATAACTTTTTCACAGATACTAATGCAGAGGGATGGGCTCCAGCAGCTTACATGGAACATCTCAATCGAAAATCGGAACGAGTCTTAAGTCGCCATAAGGAAAGAATTAACTTTAAACAACCCAACTAACATGTCAATAGAAATAATACTTTTTAGCTACTTTCATTTCATTTGTATTTTTAAGACGAAATTAAAATCTAAAAAATTCCACATAATATACAGGACCAAATCAGGTAATATGCCTAGACAAACATAAAAATGTTATTTCCCTTATGTTTTTTGGGGAAATGGTTATGAAAAATAAAGTTTATGAACAAATACAAATATCCGTGCGAAGTTTAATTTGTGTCTCTCTGTTATCGGAAAAAAAACTGTAAACTTAGGAACAAATTTTAAATTATAAATACGCATAAATAATTTATATTTTATGAAATGTGTATCTTATTGTTAATACAAATAAAAAAAAAAAACAAAATAATAATGACAAAATATAATGAAAATAAAACATAAAACAAACAAATAATTTTGAGTTCCAACCCATGCGGTTTAGTTTCTCATAGTAAATTCCTCTTTGTATAAATAGGTTATTTTTTAACTGAATAAAGTCCCAGGGAATGTTTAAATTTCGCATATTTCGTAGTTCCCCAAATTATTGATTGGGTACACCATGTCTTTGCTTTTTGGTTATTTTTGTTATGAACTTATTTTTTTTGGTCTTCTCACTATGGACGTGCGGCCAGCTCATCCTACCAAATTTCAATAACGTGACCCTCGACAGTTATATAAGGATACAAACAGAATTCGTTCTCAAACGCGAGTCTCCATAAGGATCCAAGAGGAGCTGTGATATCTGCTAAGAATCCGAGTTTCCAATATCTTTGACTTTACATTTGGTAGTGTTTATTGAGAGTATGCTATATAGACATTCGGTGTTAAGGTTATCTTGGGCTGTCATAGAATTTTCGCAGATAAAATATTATATTAGGTTGTTTGGTAATGATATGGTGGGGCGTCCGACTGAAGGCAGCAAAACTCCTGGTGGGCAGCGACGGCTGGCGGTGTTAAGCTGTGGGGGTGAGAAAAGCACTCGGCGATCGCGGGAAGTAAAAACACTTGGATTTCGGGTAATAGCGCGGACCCGCCGGGCGTTTATTCAAACGATGACGAATTTGGTACTATCTTAAGCCATTCTAAGCTAGGCGCTTGGAGGCGCAGCGGAGACCTCTTGCGCTCGGGGAGTGGAGAGCCTGGACGGCCGAGCGCGAGACGCTCAAAGCTTCGTCGATCGCTCGGATGGGGGTGCGGACGCCGACGCCGGGTTCGATCTTGAGGACGACTTCCAACGAAGCTCCCTCGACGACTTTCGATCGGAGGATCGCCGTGCACACCCTTTCCTTTCCGACATTGGTGGTCGGCAGACGAAGGCTGGACGCCAGGGTGGCGTCGATACAGCTTTGAGGCGAGCAGGGGTCGATGAACGCCACGGTGTCCACGATCTTCGGACCCGCCTCCAGGGTGACCAAAGCCGTTGGAAGGACGTTGACGACGTGGTGTTGAAGGAGGGTTGCCAGCGTCGGAGCGGCGTGCGCTGCGCGAGTTGAGGGCTCTGGTTTCGAGGATGCTGAGCGCGGTGGAGAAGCGAGCGCTCTGCGAGTTGGTGGATCTTGCCGGCGCGAACGCTGCTGAGAAGCGGAGCCCCTTTTGGAAGGCTTGGAAGGCTCGGTGATGTGGAGCAGCTCCTCATCGCACGTTCTGCACCGGTCACCGCTACGGCAGTCCCCTTGCGAATGCTCGTGGGCAAAGCAATTTGCGCAGTATTTATTGACAAGAACTGCCCGTAGCCGCTTCTCCGCGCTCAGCTTGAGGAACCTCTGGCACCTCTTTAGAGGGTGGATCCCCCGGCAGACCCGGCAACGGTAGGACTGCGTGCCTCGAGTCCGCCTGCTCTCCAACACTTGAGCGTTTTGCTTACGCGGAGCCATTGTCTACGGGTTTCGGCGTTGGATCATGAAAAAGAAAAAAACAAAGAAGATGTTTTATAAAGGTACGACTCGGGGCTTACGGACTACGGACAACGACGTATGGATTACTGGGTAGAAGTTTGGGGAGCCTCTCCGGGAAGGAGAACAATTTTGGCTTCTGGACGCCGGACAATGCCGCGCGCCGTCCGGATGTCGACTACGCGGACGTTGCCATCGGCTCCAGGAAAGACGGAGTCGATTCTACCGAGTCGCCACTCATTTGAGGGTAGATTGTCGTCTTTGATGACGACCATGTCCCCGACACGCATATTCTCGGTGGGACACTTCCACTTGTTGCGCTTGTCGAGCTCTTTAAGGTATTCATCCTTCCATCGAGCGCGGAATTGCTGATGGAGAGCTTTTAAGTGTTGCCACCGGTTCAATATGGACTTGGATTCTCCATTTACTTCGGGTTCCACTATGGATAGAAGAGGGCCGCCGACAAGAAAGTGCCCTGGTGTCAACGCTAGAAGATCAGTGGGATCCTCTGACATGGGAGATAGCGGTCTAGAGTTTAGACAAGCTTCAATCTTCGCTAGCAGAGTGGCAAGTTCTTCAAAGCAATACTTCCGCGTAGCTGTGCATTTATAAAACAATACTTTGAAGCTCTTGACACCAGCCTCCCATAGGCCTCCCATATGGGGTGCCCCTGGCGGAATGAAATGCCACTCGAGCTGCTGGTGACTATACGCATCAGTCACAGACTCTTTAACGGCCTGGAGAAAATCTCGGGACAGTAATGTGGAAGCGCCAACAAAGGTCTTCCCATTGTCCGACTGCACTTGGCGAGGACACCCTCTTCTGGATACGAACCGAGCAATCTCTTTTTGTAAATAACGCAGACCTTGCAGGCATTGATAACTGCCTTCACCAAGTTTTTAATTCTCGGAACCCAATATCTGGACCGGGTGAGACGTACCACCAACTGATTACCTCCGTGAAGCATTTTGAGATGCGTAAACTTTACCAGAAGCCGAGAGAGTGAACATTCGTACGGGAGGATTATCGGATGTCGTTCATCGTAACGCAAACTTTCAGAGGCTGTGACACGGCCACATGCCCTTATCAGCCCCTCCTGATCTAGGAAAGGGTTTAAGAAGAGGATCGAAATGGAAGGGGGCACCGGAAGCTTCTGACTCAAGCAGCGATACTCGTTAGATAAATACTTGCGCTGAGTGCAGAGAATCATGAGCCGTTCGGCGACGACAAGTTCCTTGGCCTCCAGACGGATCTCTGAAAGCGGCGATTGTTTTTTGCACCGATTGATAAATCGCTGGACATACGCTGGACATACCCCGATCAAGGATGTCTTCGTTCGGAATATACGCCACGTGGGCTTTGACTGCTCGCTTTTCGATCTCGCTCACGAGTAGGTCGGTCCCCTGGCTAGGCCATTGGCTGCGTGGTTTTTGCAACCAAGTGGGTCCATGCCACCAGAGGGAACTACCGACAAGCTCTGGAAGGGCCACCCCTCGACTAGCCAAGTCAGCGGGATTATGTTCGGATTGAACGTGTGACCAGTTGGCTGCCTCTGTGGACTGAGTGATCTTCGTCACTCTGTTGGCAACGAAAGTAGTCCAATGGCAAGCTGGTTTTGCTAACCATGCCAACACAATGGTGGAGTCGGTCCAGCAGTGGAGCGCCGTAGGCTTTCTGCGAGGCATCACAAAAACCATGATGCTCTAAGCGGAATTCTGGGCGAAAGGAAACCCATCTTGGAATCCGGACCTGATCAAGGACCGAATAGCTCTAAAGAAAACTGTGCCACCTTTGGCACAACTCAGATGGGAGCTTATTGTCCCACGCCAAATCTCTTGCATAAAGATCTTGGCACACACAACAAATGGAGCGAGCCAGCCTGCTGGATCAAACAGTTTGGCGATTTGGGAAAGCACCTGGCGTTTTGTGGGGGTGATTTCTGTGGGTAGATCTGGGGGAACGAAGAAAAACTCATCGGACGTCGCTCTCCACCGTACACCGAGAGTCTTGGCTGTACTTTTAGTGTCGAGATCAAGGAAATCGCTGTTCAGAAGATGATCGGTTTGGATATGAGCTAACACCTCTTTGTTGTTGGATGTCCATTTTCTTAACGGAAAGCCCGCGGAGTCTAGGGCACTCTGTAACTCTTTTATTGTGAGCTGAGCATCTTCAGCAGAGTCAGCTCCCGAAAGGACATCGTCTACATACACATGCACTACGAATGACTTTGCTCGCTCTTGGATGGCTGAGCTGCACGTCAGTCCCCAGCTGTTGTAGGACTCGTATCGCCAGGAAGGGCGCACAATTAATCCCGAAAGTTACCGTCTTTAATTCAAAATCTCGAATGTACCCCTCGCTGTTTCGGAATAAAATGCGTTGGAACGGGGTATGCTTCGGGTCTACCCAGATCTGTTGATACATTTTCTCGATATCGGCACTGTAAACGTATCGGAAATATCGCCACTTCAGAATTTGAATGGTTAGATCGGACTGTAAGATCATCATTTAGACTGACCCCATTGTCTGAAGGGCTGAAGGCATTGAACACCACACGAAGATAATAACTCGCAGAATCATGGGTAGGATAGACCTCATTTATGTGGTTGAGATCGAGATATTCTTGAATGACGGTATCGTACTTCATTTTCTGTTGGCTGTCCCTTTTTAAACGCTGCTCGTTTCTTAAGAATTGAGCCAACGCACAGTGGGCGATTTGGTCTCGCTAGCGGGATTTAATTAATAACTTCTAAACTAAAATAGATATCTTCAGTCGGTTTTTTTTCACCGATCAAAGAAAAATCATAAAATTTTTTAAGTTAAAAAAAGTTTTTTTTTTAATACTTTTTTATTTTTTTTTTTTTTAATTTAAAAAAAATATTTTTTAATTTTAAATTTTGATTTATTTTTATGTTTTTTAAACTTCAATTAATATATTCCATAAACAAACATAATTTAAAAATGGCTAGAATTTTATTCAGAATCATCGGAATCAGACGGCGGCATAGTAAAAATACTAAAATATACTAAAAAAGATCCCTTTTTGCTACTGACATTGTGCCTTAAAAGTACCATAGTTTGAAGGCTAGCAGGTACTAGCAGTTCATATTACACACATTGGACTCCACTGATTCACACTTTCGGCTAATAAAAGAGTTAGACTGAATCCACTTGAATCAGGTAAGTTCTTCTCCACGAAAGACAGGTGTACGCTAATCCGGGCTCGTTGTTAATACACTGAATTGCCACTACGT